AATATCAAGGACCTACAATCACATGGCAAGTCACATTCTCAAAGTAAGCTCTATACACATGCAAATGATCTCGGTATTCATGCCAGATCTAAGTCAAAGACAAAACAAAACAAGCTGGGAGCTTAACCACTGCTCCCGTTTTCTCGAAAACACACTGGGTACAGTGCCGGCTAAGCCGAGGTCCCGCTAAAAACTTGTTACAAAAATCTGAGTTTTCATGCCAAGAGTTCAAAATATATGGACCTGGGTACCCATCAAAGAAAGTCATGCAAGAACAAACACAAAACATGATTTTCGTTCCAAACTTTTCGATCAAAATGAGATTTTCTTCAAGAACACGTGGAAAACCATTTTCTCTTTCCAAAACCAACTTCAAAACAATGCATGACATGCAACACAAATCCGATCATGCAATGCAGCTAAATGATCAGCAAGAACAACCAAAGGAGATCGAGATTCTAACCTCAGACTCGGATCCAACGGTTCAAACCACGAAGATCAAGCTTGGGAGACTTACTCTCACTCAAGAACTTCTCTAGAGCTTCTCTCTCTAAAACAAAGATTTGAGACCAAAATGATTTGTTTCTAAGTCTGCCGGCTGTCTTAACAACTAGCTCGGACACGTGGCACTACCACGTTGGCTCAACTCGAAAAGGTGATTGATAGATAAGACAAGTCTCTGACAAAGCGTATGCAGCAAGCTCGAGTAAGACACATCGGCAAGTAATGACATCGGCTCAAATCAAGGATCCGGCAACAGGGTAACAAAGACATCGGCTAGGGAGGTCGACACTTGACTAAGCTGTGCCACACCTTGGCCGGGGTGTGCCACATCTCGGCCTAGGCCATACCTGCCTGCGGACAAGGTTCACTAAATGCAAAACATCTCGGCAATAAACGCCCGAGGTAAAGATGGGGGTCGACCAAGGTCTTAAAACAGTTCTTAGTACAAGGGTTCAAAGGCGAACTAAGCTCAAGATGACCTCGGCCACACACACACCGAACAAGGAACAAAAATCATGCAAGTAACTTTAAGCAAATCAATGCAAGACAAAACCTTCAAAACAATATAACAAGGCAAGATCATGCATGAATGTATGCAAGTATGACAAGAGTAAGGTGAGGGTTGTTACATTTCGTGTCGGAGGTAGAATATGCACTCAAATTTGTAGCGTAAGAGAAACCTATGCCCACTGGCGCATCAAGAAATAGTATGCTCGAAGTCTGAAAAATTAATCATTTTTAACCATTGAATAAAAATAACAAAAAACAAAAAACTAGTAAGCAAACATTTGTGTAAGCTTAATTATTAGAAAAATATTTTGCAAAAGGAGAGTGAGAAACATTGTATTGAATGAAAGCACCTGAGTCCATGAGTATGGGTAATATTCCAATGTGGGCGTACCTCCCTCATACTCTGTTTTGTTGAAAGCTAGTGGACCTACACATTGTCAAACAAAAATTGCAATTGAGGCCATTCTATGACTTTTTAGGATATACTATATTAAGTGTAGTGTCACTTTCATCTCCAATTTAAATAATTTGATTCGTACATTTCAATTTTGTTATAATGTGATCTCTTCTTACATACTGTTAGGATTTGGAACTCCCCCCCAACCAAAAAAAAAAAAAAATCACGTGCAAAACTAGAGGGATTAAAATGGAATTCAAAATAAATTAAAAAAACGACTAATAGAAATGGAAAAATTAAAATGAGACAATACTAAATGATTAAGAAAAAAAAAAAAATACTTAGGCTCCGTTTGGTTGTGTTTTGTAGACATGATTCCACACCTACATGTGAATATGATGTTTGGTAGGAGTTTTGGAATCACGTTTCCAAAACTCTGCAGAGAGTTCTGTTTCAGTCGCGCTTTTCAGAATTTTTTTTTTGAAAATTTTGCCTAACCAGTCGTCCGGCCGGTTGACCAGAATAGTGAATTTTTTTTTTTAATTTTTTTGCAATTGATATGTTAATTTTTATATAATCGGAAAAAATATTTTCTGAAATTTTTAAAATTTTTTATGTGCTTTAAAATAATTTTGAGTTGTATGTTTAGTTATGAATTGTAAATTTTTGTATCAAATATCAAATATCACATCAATAATTCCCCACTCAAATCAAAACTTTTTTCAAAACTCTTTACCAAACAAATTTTTTATGCTCAAATCATAATTACAAACCCCGCAAACTCAAAATACAACTCTTACTCTCAAATCATAATTACAAAACACAACCAAACGCAACCTTAAAATTTTAAATTTCAGTCTTTGGATATTAAAAGCTCAAACAAATATTTCAAAACTAAAAATAACTAAAACAATTCTTAGACAAAGTAATTGCAAAACTGAACTTTTCAACAAAATAATTAAGAATATACATAAAATTACAAGGAAAAAATTATTGGGTTTCTCAGAATTTTTTTTTTTTTTGGTTTTGTTTTAGAAAACACAAAAAATAAAGCCAAAAAAACAAAAAAATGAAAACGAAGCTACAGGGAATGCAATCAACCTCCCTCATGAACACAAACATTTCAGCGTAGAAGATTAAGAGAGAGAGAGAAGGAAAACCAAAAAAAAAAAAAAAAAAAAAAAAAAAAAAGAAGAAGAAGAAGAAGAAGAAGAAGAAGAAGAAGAACAGGGAGTACCAATTTCATAAATAAGTCCATTGAAAGCAGAGCAACCAGGGCCTCCACTGTACCATAGCAAAAGAGGGTCTTCTTTTGGATTCCCTTCCGACTCTATGAAATAGTAAAACAGTTGTGATTCTTCAACTGTAATGTACCTGAAAATCCCCAAATCTCCCTTCCTTGTAAATCATTTCAAGCTCAATAACTAAGTTAAAAATTAACAATAAAAATTAGAAGCTAAAATTATTTCTCTCAATTTAATTTTTTTTTTTTACATATAAACTTTTTGAAGTTACTTCAAAACTAAAAATGTGAAAATTATGCTTTTTATTACCTTTTAACTTTCACCTTGCTTCATCACCTTTTAATTGCAAGAGTTAAATCTATAGAGTTCAACCCAAATTTTAATGTAATTCTTCCGCCTTTCCACAATTTAAAAATTGAGTGAAAGTTGAAGTTGAAAAGTGTAATTTTTCCATATTTTTTTTTGACACCCTTAAAATGTGTTGGCATAGCTATCTCGTGCAGTGGCGGAGCCACAGTGGAGCCAGGGGGGTCACGTGCCCCCTCCCCTGGGTTTTGAATTTTTTTTTTTTTTTGGTTGCAAATATAAAGAAAATATTTTAAATAAAAAAAAATATAAAATATTATTTAGAGTGAAATATCAATGACATTTTTTAAATTATGAGAATAATAATAGTTGTTTTTTTATTGAAAATAAAGATATTACGATAAGTTATATTATTATCTATGAAAATTTCAATACAATGGTGATGTCTATTATTATTGATATATAATTATAATTAATCTCAATAAAGATATGAAATTTATTGAATTGTTAGTTACATTTGACATTTAAGGTTTATCCTCTATGTGTTTCTTTACTATTGATTGGTGATATCATATGTCAATGATGACGTGATATTACTATTATATTGAACATTGGTTTGGTTTTTGAGTTTGGACTAAATAAGCACACGAAGACAACAAAAAAAAAAGCCACAAAATCATAAAATGACAAAATATTTAACTTTTGATGCAAAATTACCAAATTGACCCATATATAAACAAAAAGTCAAAAAAAATCATTTCAAGTGGAGGGCAATTTTGTCATTCCAATGCAAAAAAGTTAAAAAAACCAAACAAGAAAACCAAACAAACAAAAAAGTTTCAGGCTAAAAAAATCAAAAAGTCAAGTTTGCCAAACGACACCTAATTACTTTATCATTATATAACTTATTTTAAAACTTATATCCATGACTTTTTATTATTATTATTTATTGTTCATGATATATACTGGTTATAAATAATATATATATATATATTATCTTTCTTGAAGTCAATCATAAAAATTTATATGAAATATTTTTGTAAAAATTTTGAATATTATAATTAATAAATGTCCCCTCTAATTTAATTTCTTAACTTCGCCACTAATGTCGTGGCCACTTTCGCTTCATTTTTTTAGCAGTGAGTGACAAAAGAGCTACACTAGAACAACAGTCAAATCCTATTGACTTAGTTACAATTAGAAGATTAGACGCCAAAGCAAAATTTGAACGAAAATTATTAGAAGGTGAAAAGTCTAATTTACAAAAAAAAACATATATAAATAGCTCCAATAAACTGCACCAAACTAGTTTTAAGAACTAATTAATCCAATATTTATATGAAAGGATTTCCCAAAAGAGAGAGAGAGAGAGAGAGAGAGAGAGAGGCACATACCCAGTTTCAAGAAATTAATCCTATATTTATATGAAAGGATTTCCCAAGGGAGAGAGAGAGAGAGAGAGGCACATACCCAGTTTCAAGAGTGAAAGGAAGTTCACCATCAAAGCCTGGTAAGGTCTTGACCAGGGCTGGCCCTGAAAATTCAAGGACCCTAGGTGAGCTTATAAATTTGGGCCCCTTGTACATACGCCCAAAAAATATTTGCTAGTGGCCACTCAAGTTTGCTTGATTAAATTGGGGCCCTTTGTTTTTTCAATTGGACTAATTTTTTTATTTGTTTTTAATATAGGCATGCAACATGTTTTTATTTTGGCCTTTTATAGTGGGCTGTTTTATTTTGGAGGGCTTTTATTTTAGTGGGTTGTTTTGTTTTTGAGGACTTCTAACAATAATTGAACTTTATTTAAAACTTGATAGTATAATGGATCTTCAAAATTTGGGACCCTATTTTGGGCCAAATTTTGAGAGCCCTAGGCATAGGCTTTACTCGCCTTAGCCCAAGACTGACCCTGACAATTTGGCCAGAAGACACTACACGTGGAAAGAAAAAGAGCACTAGGAGGAAGAGGAGCAACTGCAAACTCACCCAATTATTTTTCTCTGTAAACTTGATAACATACTTCATTCTTTGGTTATATTGCTTCTCTGCCATTATTTCCAAACAGAAATTTGCTTTGTTGGGACATGTATACCATCGCAATGCAATGGTGAGTTTACTAGGGGTAGTGCTATCAACATCTTACTCAAAAGTACTATCTTTTGTTTTTCTTGTGATTTTATTATTCAAATGGCAAGAAAAGTTGGTACAACAAACAATGACAATGGAAATACAGTTGCATACCAAAATCTAGATTGGGTCTTGTCATGACATCATTCAAAAAAACTCAACTCGTTTGGTTTTAGTTTTCAAAAAAATAGTTTTTAAAAAATTTTACTTCTTTATTTTTCGTATTTTAATATTTTTAATGAATTTTTTTAATATTTTAAGTATTATTTTTAATTTTTAAACACACTTAACATAAATACACTTAAAAAAGTATAATATTTGTAAATTTTTTTTTTTTAAAAAATACACTAAATACCAAAAAATACAAAAAAAAAAACAAAAATTCATTACATTTTTTATATTTTTGTGTATTTATTAATTTTTTAAAATATTTTTTCACAAATATTTTACTATTTAGATACATCTAAGTAAGATGCATCTAAAAAAGTAAAAAAATTACTTAAAATTTAAAAAATATTCACTAAAAAAAATACAAAAAATAAAAAATTCAATTTTTAGAAAACTGAACTCAAAAAATTAAAACCAAACACACTGAATAATATGAAGATTGGGTCAAGTGGTGATATATAGGCCAATACTATCCTAGGAAAATCTCAAATAAGCGGGGTAGAAGAAAAAAAATACTTACACAAAAAAAGAAAAAAAACTGCAATCTTAAGGGGAAAATAGCCTGAAAGGTTCAAGGATATTATTATACTTAAAATAAATATGAGCCACACTTTATTTTTTCTATTCGCTTTTCTTGAAGCATTGTATTTTTGCCACTACTTAAACCTAAGTTACATTACAAAATTATTAGAACATTTCCATCAAACTAGTTATTTTTATTTTTTTAGCTAAAATGGTGAGTAAATCACCAAATTTCAGCTCCATTAAATTAGATATTAAGTTACTTGCTTAAGTTTTAGTGGTTTTGGCTTAACAAATGTAGTTAATAGTTTTAATTAGTTAAACATTAAAAATATGTTATTTTTCATATTTTGGAGTTACTTGCGTTGAGTTTATAAAAAAAAATAATATAGAGAAAGAATAGAGAATTTGTTGCAGAATGTATTGAAAAAATATATAGTCAAAATTAATTTAAAATATAATAGAAGTTAAACCAGATTGATGGAACTGCTTCCTATCATCAAATAGTTGGTTATCATGAGCTTGCTCTCACATGAGTTGTCCTTTTCAAAATTATATATGTTTGTCATCAGTGTTTTCAAATGGATTTATCATCGTTTATCCTAAGAATAGTGCAGCACACGGATTGAAAACCTTTTGACTGGTTAGTAGTGTCTTTTTACTTTTATTTCGCTGTCGTTCTTTTTCATATGTTTATTGTTAATTGGTGGGTTAAAAACTAGATTAATCCAATAATTTTAACTATATGACTCATTCTATCATCTTTCTCATCTCTTTTGATACCAATAATGCTAAAGAGTGTCATTGAAGTATTGTTTAATATTAACATTAAAGTAAAAAGTATATTAAAAATAGGTAAAAATGTTAAAAATTAATTGGTGTAGGGGAGAAAAAACCTGGTCATAAAATGAGTTCAAATCCACCATTCAGCCAAACATAGGAAAATTGTTCAAGTTTTCAGCATGGAAATGGAGGGAGATAGGATCACCAAGCTACTTTGTGGTTGTGTAGTTGGTAATTGACATTCAAGGTTGCATACTATAAGGGTTCAACTTCCATTCAAACTGCACACCAAACACGGGGAAAATGACTAAAAAAATAAAATGGCAAATTACACTTTGCACTCTTGCACTTTATATCAAATCCTACTTTGGTCCCTACACATCAAATTGTGACACTTAACTCCCTGTACTTTTGGTCAAGTGTCACTTTGGCCCTTCTGTTAGCCTCATTGTTAACAGAGGTTAGACACATGAAAAACATGTGAGGATAAATTACACTTTGCACCCCTGCACTTTACACAAAATCTCACTTTAGTCCCTACACATCAAAATTATGATACTTAGCTTCCTAAAGAATAACTTCTGTAGGCCTCACTATTAACAAAAGGGCTAATATGACACTTGACCAAAAGTGCAGGAGGTTAAGTGTCACAATTTGATGTGTAGGGACTAAAGTGAAATTTTATGTAAAGTGTAAGGATGCAAAGTATAATTTATCCAAAAGAAAAAGTACAAGTACAAGTAATGACCCACCATTAATTTGGTAATTAACATTCACGTCACGTTTGTTTTTAGAGATAGGATAGAGGGAATTGTTAGTAAAAGAAGTGTTATTGAGAGAATTAAATAAATTTGTGTTTGTTTTGATAATAGTTGTTAGTGTAAGAATTGTTAATTTTTTTTATATAAAATAATAAAAACAAATAGAAACCATTGGTATTGACTTACCAAAGAAAAAAGAAAGATAAAACCTCACATTGTAAAAAAAAAAAATTGCACTTGGCCAAAGGATCGGATCGGCTGGATGTTTGCATAGACGACCAGTTACACCTTAATTCGAACGGACTATTCCTGAATACCATCTTCTCATCCAGACTCACAGTCTACTGCTCTAGGGCCTTTCACAGTGCAAATGGACTCCTTATCTCAACCTCCATATTGAAAACAAACGTGAGCTTGGTGCTTGTGTTCGGACTAAAAGTCTAATCTGGAGGTCTATCACGAATAACAAACGGCCCCCAAGGTTTTGTGGTCCGAATGTTATTGTCTCATTAATTTGTAATCTCCTAATCATTAGAACCAAATGTGTCTAAAAGAAATGAGAAAGATGTACTTTTACATTTTTTTTCCTAAAGGAAAATTAGATTAATCCAATAATTATAACTATATAACTTATTCTATCATACAAAAGAACTCTAAACCAATAACTATATAACTTATTTTATCTTTGTACACACCTTATTTAGTGTAAATGTTGTCACATTTTTTTTTTCTTTTTAATAAAACTCTTCATGCCACATTTAATAATAATTAAACAATTTTTCTCATTTATTAAACAGTCCAAAACTACTAAACAATTTTCTTCATTCATTAAACAAGTCAAAAAATTTTAAATACAAAATAACGAACACATCACCTTTATACTCACAACTAATATATATAATTCGTCCAACAAAATTGAGAAATGATTGTTATGCCCTAGTTGCTCCGCATTACCAATTCTATCCCTATATATATATATATATAATTCATTGAACTTTCCATCCCATATTATATTACCATAATTGTGGCCTTGCAACTAAAATACCTAGCATTTAACTATTTTCTCAAAACTAATTTTTTTTTTCCTCCTCAGCGTGGCATGCATGCAAAGATAGCATATTGAGAGGGGGATTTGCGCCGGGGAGAGTACGACCGAGCTACGGCAGCGCGGATCATGACGGACCCCGAGGGAGCCGCACCATCTTCTTCATCTGAATTGTTCCCCGGCCCGCCTTGCGCGGCCGAGCTGGATTTGTCGACCGGAGCGTGGGCTGAGGCATATGTCGGGCCGAGCTGAGACTTGGTTAGATGTTCAGTTGGATCCGCAATGGTACGGGTGGATCGAGCCAATGACAGCTCGAATTGGCTTTGGGTTAGAGAAAGGGCCGGTACGCTTCTCGGCCGGTTAGCCCGGAGGGACCTCCTTCAGCTCGGTCTTGAGAATCGCAGTTGAGTTCCTTTCCAAGGGACAGGTCGACCACAATATCTCGGTTGGGCGTGCCACCTGAACCAATGGTGTGACAGAAGGGAAACCCACTCCTGACACGCGTCAATACCATTTGGCAGTTCCGTACGCACTGTTTGGAGGTTTTGGCCTTTACATGCGTAAGGTGGGGAGAGGCGAGCACTGCCACTTGTCCAGGGAAGGACAGCAGAGGTAGTGCGCGCACAATCCCTGTGGCTGCATGGCTAGCCTAGAAAAAGGGAGGAAGGAGGACGTTGGAGGTATGCTAGCTGAACAGCTCTCACTCTCTCTCTCTCTAACGATATTCTCCTTCTTCTTCTTCAAGTGATCTGACTTGATCGTCAGAGGGTCTATTCGGCGACACACTGTCAGGCAGCTCACCGTTTCTTTGTTTCCAGGTCAGACGTCGTTACGTGAAGCTTGAGTTCAAGGAGTACGGAAAGCGAAGAATATTTCACTCCCGTACACATATGATATCACTATATAATTATTATTAGGAAAATGTGGCGCGAGTAAAAGGAATTGTATCTCCACCATCCAAAACACAAATTATTTTGTTAGCTACACATCCAAACACTGCCTTATTCGTATGCTTCATAACAGATGTTTTCAAATAGGGATTTGGATCCAAAACACACTGGATGTTCAACTGCATAGGCTAGCTAATGGTCAATCACTCTCTCTCTCTCTCTCTCTCCCTCAAAAGATGAGAGACTTTGAAGATAATATTTTATTTTATTGAAAAAAAGAAACTAGTTTGAATGCAATTGTTCGTTGCAACCAATTTCCAAGCAACTCCTCAATCATTCAATAGATTGAAATATATAATTCATTTTCATTTCTCTTAGACTATGTTTAATTATTAGATTTGGATAGAGATTTATGGAGAAAAAATAAATAAGGGGAATAGGTAGAGAAATGTAAAAAAATATAATAATAAAAGGGAGCCGATATTCTCACTCCAATATGTATAATAAAAGATAAAGAAGTAAGTATATTTGAAGCAAAGTTGAGTGAGAATAACGACTCCCTAATAAAATTGGTTTATATTTCATTCATTAATTGAAGCCTCTTATTTTATGAAGTTCATTATCAGAGCTAGCAAAATTTATTTTTTGACTCCTTTCCAGCAAATAAATTCTTTTTGTTTTATGTCTTCATTGTCTAATATTCTGTTCTACTTCTACCCATTTTAATTAAATGTTAAATGCATTCATTTTATTTTTGCTCAATGTTTTGAA